TAGATTTGCCACCACTGTCATAGCGTGCTCAGACTGGCTTTTCTCAGTAACTCAGCTCATGGTTCCTCTGTGTCTTTTTGTGACTTCAAGGCACATATTTTCAAATACTCAATTGTCTGGATGTGTCACAGTGTATTTATCTATGCCTCTACTGGAGGATATCCTGGGTGCTTCCACATTTTGGCAAGCAAAGCTGTTATAAGGATTTTCCAAGCTAGCTTTTTGTTTCCTGCCAGTCATTTAGCTTCTCTAGGTCTCAATTTCCTCATGTATAAAATTTAGTTGACAATTTTTAAGGATTCTTAGTTTTGAAATTACTAGTTTTTTAAGCTAAAAATCATAAAAATTTGTTATCCCAGTTATGAATAAACTCAGATTTGCCCAAGTTGCAGGAGACTTAAGAAGTTGATAAAGGATGTCTAGCAGAAAGCAATCTGGTCGTATGTTATAAAAGTGTAATATATTCTTAATTTTTTGATCCTTCTGTTTTGGTGGTATACTTAAACCAAAAATGGAGGTTAAAAAGTAAGATTGTTTTTCTAAAAGCAGATTCTTATAGGAGTAATTCATGAAATCCAAATAAAACTATGGGAACAATTCAAATGTCCAGTAGTATAGAAATATAAACTGTATGAGGACAGAAAGCACAGCTATTTGTTCTGATTGATGTGTACCTAGTACCTTACTCAGTGTGGTTCTACAATGAGTAAGAGGGGCTAAGAGAAGAGCTTTTACCAAATACACAAAGATGATGGAAGATGGCATTCTGTTCTTCTCTTTGCTGTTTTGTGTGTCTCATTGCTAAATTCCACTATGCCAGATGTTGCCTGTTGGACTTGTAGTTTCCCCTGTTGCTGATACCAGTGCAGGGATTAAACATGTGGTATAGCAGCCATGACAGGGAATCTTCACAATTGGTAAAGAACATCAACATGGTCGTGAAGGAATTAACATGACAATGACTGTATGTCCCCGTTCTTTTCAAGAAGATCTTGGCTTCTGCCTGATGTCTTGTGTCTCCGTGTGAATCACAGCATCATCCCCTCCCCCCTCAGATGAACCCTTTTTGTACAGTAAAGTCACCCCATAGCTGAGGGTCTTTCTATTCACTGCAGTGCTGTAGTAAGGAAACATTTTCTTTTATTTCAATTCAATTTACTTTGACATTTATTTACCCTGAATCATTTGTGTTGTGAGATACAAAGAAAAGACAAAATCCTTGCTACCAGAAAACTTCATAGTAAGTACTGCTTTTTCCTCTTTAGTTTGATAAAGTATAGTCTCACCAATCAGAACACTCCTAGCCCAGGCTCCTCCCTAACTACCCACTTACAGAACTCCTTTCTTGACTATCTGGCCGCATGCCTCATCTCCTATAGCAGTGTTCCCACCTAAGAAGCCATTCCCCACCACACCACACTCTGGATAGCTGAGATTATGTGATTCCTTCCTTCCAAGGCCCATCCAGACCACTTCCCTTGGACCTATCTGCTCAAGGGCCCTCACAGAGTGTATTCAGCCAGAGATGGGAGAAGAGCACAGGCAGCAGGCTGGAGGTGGGAGCTAGAATAGGCTTCCCTCAGCCTTACACATTCTCAAATTCTAGAATTTTAATTTTGTACCTGGTCTATCAGGTACATATTTTGGATGGCTGTTCCTCAAGCAGGAGAATAGAACACATTTATGCAGTAATCTATGACCTTGAATTGTAGCTTGTAGATATGTAGATACGTAGTATCTGGGCCTCCATTTGCCTTCTCGCCATAGACTCATAAGCAGTAGAGGCAGGCCTGCTCAAGAGTACAACCTGTGTCTGTACCATGACCACCTGTAAATTCCCCATCTGTTCCTTCCTCTAACCTGTGCTGCTTAGTTGTACAACCTCTACACTGTATGGAGCACCCCAGGCACATACTCCTCCCTTGCACTCTTGTTCCTTCTCAGAGAGTTCTTCCCTGAAGTTGCTGTAGGTTCTCTCCGGTCACAGTCTATAGGTCTTTTTCCCCCTAAAATTATTACCAGTGAAGACTTGCCTGCCCAGTCTAAGATTTTATACCCTCAAACTCTTACTGTCCCTTTCCTTCCTTATTTACTCCCTTAGAATACATCATCATCAAAAAATCAGAAGTACAAGCTTTTTCCCCTATATATCTTTCTTCCAAAATCCTCTAAATACTGACTGATTTTTTTTTAAAGATAGCCCATTCAACAAGTGGTGCTGGGAAAATTAGGTAACTGCAGAAGATTGAAACTGGACCCATATCTCACTATGTATTAAATTAAAAATAGATAAAAGATCTAAATATTAAAATAGAAGCATTGAACCTACTGGAAGATAAAATAGGTAAAACACTTGAAGTTACAAGTGTAGGAAAGGATTTTCTAAACAACACTGAAATTGCACAAGAAATAATAACAAGAATCATCAAATGGGCTTACATCAAATAAAGCTTTTTCTGTACAGCAAAAGAATCAGTTAGTAAAGTGAAGAGACAACCTACAGAATGGGAAACATTTTTTTGCCACCTGTTCCTCAGAGGACTAATATCTAGAATATGCAAGGAACTCAAATTAGACCACCTAAAATAAAAGAGCTAGTCAAGAAGTGGGCAAACGAAATGAACAGACACTTCACAGTAGTACAAATGGCCAGCGCATACATTAAAACCTTGGTTTGTGAACATAATTCATTCTGGAAACATGCTCAAAGCACTCATATATCAAAGTAAATTTTCCCATAAGAAATAATGGAAACTCAGACCATTCTACAACCCAAAAATATTCATATAAAATTGATTACAATACTGTAATATAATAAAGAAGATATAAAATTTAAAGAAAAATTAACCTGCACTTTGAAAACCTTCATGGCTGATGTGAGGGAGACAAGAGGGGAGGGTTGTGTAGGACGACTTTCACTATCACTAGTGGAATCACTGCTACCTATTGACTCAGCGGAATCTTTTTCTTTCCATGCAACTTTAATAAAAAAATTATCCGGTGACACTTGCTTTTCCCTGCTTCTGAGGAGTTTGTGGAATTAAAATATTGCACTGTTGTTAAGCAGATTGGTTGCTCAGACTACTACAGCCTTATTTGAGTGGTGCTTTTCTACAAAGTTTTGTATTGTTTTCCATATGTGATGTTCCATGTCATGCACTACTTGCATTGCAAGACATTGTTCCTTTAAGTTAAAATTTATTAGAAAGGTTTGCTCATCTTGCAGAACACTTGTGGAACAAGTAACTTGCAATCCAACATTTTATTGTGTATGAAAAAATATTCAACATCTCTGGCCATTAGAGAAATGAAAATTAAAATAATACTAAGATTCTAACACACACCAGAAAGAATGGCAATCATGAAGAAATAAAAAAGTAACAAATGCTGGTGAGGCTTGGAGAGAAAATGGAACCTTCTTTCCATGGTTGGTGGGAATGTAAATGTGTCAGCCATTATGAGATCAGGATGGAGATTTCTTAAAAAACTAAAATTAGAAATTCCATATGACCCAGCTATCCCTCTTCTAGGTATCTTCCCCCAAAAGCTTAAGATGTTATACTATAATGATACATGCATACCAATGTTAATAGTAGCACAATTCATAATAGATAAATTCTGGAAGCAGAATGTATACCCATCAACAGATGATTGGATAAAGAAAATGTGGTATACACAGTGGAATATTACTTGCCTATAGAGAAGGACAAGTTTGAGATATATGTAGGAAAATGAATGTACCTAGAAAATATCTTAAGCAAAATAAATCACACACAATCATAAATACAGTATGGTATTTCTCATTTGAGTGAGGCAAAGTACAAAGAGAAAAAGGATGGATAGGCAACTAGAGGATGGATGTCTTGCAAATGGGAAGAGGGCTAAGGGAATATGGGTGAGAGGAGAGGGGGAGGGGAAGGGAAAATAAATAGAATAAAGACATGTACAGGAACCTAATAGCTTCAATGAGTGTACATTATATGCTAGAAACATGAGCTAAGATGAATAATATCAACCAGAATGAAAATGAGGAAAAGGAAATTAGAGGAAGGAGGGGAGAGAAAGGGGATGGGATTACAAAAGGATTGAGCTGTATTATGTACATGTACCACCTCCCTGAGATGATTGTAAACTGTATGTACTGCAAACTTGTACTAATAAATTTTTTAAATTAGCTTTTATATTTTAAAGTAACCCATTTTGAAGAGTTAGCTATTCTTTAAAGCAAGTTACTTAAAGCAGCAGTAGCCTACCTGGTCCTCACTTTTGGTGGTAGCTCTTAGCTCTGTTGCATGATTTCTTTGGTTTTCCTACCATATTTCAGCATTCTTACATTGCTGTTTTCTAAGTTTGCAGCTTTAGGTTTTCTCTTATTTTCCATTCCAGAGGACCAGACTTAAGTGCCTTCTTAACCACTGTCACTCCCTGTATTTGCACAAATGCCTGTCCGGCTATCCCCTTCTCCAAATGATCAGCTTGTGATTTGTGATCAGGTCAGGATCTGATGTTTTAAACTGAACACAATTTACAGCTGAGTCACAAAACTATGATTGTTTTTCCTTCTCCGAGTTAAAGTTGTCATGTTCTTCGTTTCCTTTTCTAGGTTATTAGCATCAGTTCCACCCAAGATGTTCAGTTGTGTGTATCATTTATCAGTGTGTTTCAGACATGAGTATTCTACTGTCTTGACCCAACTTCGTAGAGTCATCAGGTCCTTGCTAATCTGAGTGGTCATTCTAGGGTGCCCTGGAGCTCCAGGGAGTCAGTGCTCTCTCTGAAACTCACTTATCCTCAGCAGATTATTTGGTAGTTGCAGCAAATATAGTTGATGTTGTTTTTAAAGTATTTATTTGAGCAAATTATGGAAAGTAATTATTGCTGGTTCTTTCTCTTTTATATGTTGTGAAGATGAATTTTAGTTTAAAAATAAAGATTATATTCTTATATTTAACTGTTTTGTTTAGAGCATTTGGAAACTGCATTGTATTCTGTCTTCATAGGCTCTGAAAATCAGAGAGTTCTGTAATTGCCCACCACTTTCTGGACCAGATCCTCGATTACTATTCAAACTCAGCATGAAGAATTTTTGTGAAGAATTGGAAAAAGACCGAAATACCACTTTTAAGCAACAGAAAATGGATCCTCTTCCCACTCAAAAACAGGAGCAAATACCATTAACATATGTAGTTGAGAAGCAAACTGGTAGCTGAATTAAAATTTATGAGAATCAGAATATGTGAAAAATACAGTAATCCTTACTGCTTTTATGTTACTTCTTAAAAAAAATAATGTTTGAAATAAAAATAGATGTTCAGGGTAAAATCATGAATATTACAGATTCTGTATTATCTAAATTCTTCTAAGTATTTTTCATAAAATATTGATGTGTTTTAATTATTTTAAAGTATCTTCAGTGAGGGAAATATCACAGAATAAATTTATGTTATAGTAATCCTTAGCTTTTATGTTACTTCTTAAAAAAAATAATGTTTGAAATAAAAATAGATGTTCAGGGTAAAATCATGAATATTACAGATTCTGTATTATCTAAATTCTTCTAAGTATTTTTCATAAAATATTGATGTGTTTTAATTATTTTAAAGTATCTTCAGTGAGGGAAATATCACAGAATAAATTTATGTTATACAGTTTTACTCTCTTGTTTTTCATTTTTTGATTTGGAAAGCAGGCCCCTTGTGGATGAGAAACCTGAAGGTGCAGTAATTGTTAGTGTAGAGAGGGGTTTCAGCTGAGCCCAAACTGGATTACACTCTGGGTGGTTACGATGAACCAGGAAACAAATAGTCTGCTTGCAGCGAACGGTTTGCATTTGGGGAGGATTATGTGGACTCTTGTACCTTGGGATAGAGGATTTCCTGGTCTTCGCCTGTGGATAGGTGGGGAAGGGCTGTCAGTGAAGTGGAAGAAGTGATTTTCATGGAGAGGCGCAAATGGTCCAGGTGACAGAGCAAGCAACAGAATGGGGAGGAAGAGCATCTTTATGCCATCACAGTGTTTCTGAAGTTGGCACAAATCATGTCATTTTAGTTCCTCATCAGTGCTACAGTTTGGAAATAAGTGGCTGATGTTCTCAGAGAGGACAGCTACCCTGCTCATTGAAGATCCACCATAAGGGCCAAGTAAGCTATGGACCCAAAGGCCATCTCCCCAACTGGACAACATCGAGAAGGTGCCAGGTGGACACAGCAGAGAAACAGCCATAATGCCCAGAAATTAATGTACTATATAAACATCGAAGTGAGCTTTAAAAATGTGTTATTATTTTGTGAAGTCTAGTGATTAAGTTACAACTAGTCTTAAGAGTTGGAACATTTTTTTTTCTTGTAGCATTTATATTAAATACTTACTCACAAAATTAAGAGGGAAATAAACTATTTACTGGGTATATACAGTGAACTGGGCTTCATGTATTTCATTTATTCTCCACCCTTGTGAAATATGTTTTCTCATTTTACACCAAGAAACAGGCATCGAGAGGTTAAGGTATATACCCAGGGTCTCTACCTAGAAAGAGCAAAGCTGAACCTGTCTGAGTACTATTCTGTCCATCTTCCACAGCTCTTGGGTATCTAAGACTAAACTATCAAAGATAAGGCACAAATCAATTGTTTGTTTGTGTTCGCTTTCTCATGTGTGGTGTCCGTACAGGTAAACATCTCGTAACTATAAAATCAGAGACCACTTGTGCCATCTGCAGAATTATTGTCCAAGTCTTTCAGACCCTACTGTCAAAATCTAAGTGAGAAGCCTGGGTGAGGCTGAATGGGAGAGTGGGCCCTACCTGCCTGTGGAAGCCCGTAAAGTCTCTGTTCAGTTTGCTTAGACAAAACATGTACCGAGTTGCTGACAAGACAGATTCAGAGTCTGTTTTTTCATGGCGTATCACATATTGCTTATAAGGTATTTCTTAATCTGCAAAGAAGACAACAGTTGGAGAGGTTCGCAGGAACTGTTCTCCATTCTGTCATTCTTTACACTTCTGGTGATTGAAGTTTTATAAGAGGCTCTGCGTAACATGTAAAGATGTTTGGAGAATGTCACCTAGAGCTAACCAGTAAAACATACTGATTTCCCTGCAGATTTCCTAAGAAAATAATGTGTGGAAACCCTCATCTATTTTTCTTCCATCTCATTGTCACATCTAATTGTGTTGTTCAGACTTCTTAGAAAACATACACAAGTTGACATCATGTTAGAAAGAGCAGAGATAATACAGAGATAATATATTCATAGCACCTACGTAAAAGGTGTTTTTTTACCCATAGAGTCAAATATAAAAGAAATGTTACATTTTGGCTCAGGATTTTAAAAGAAATTAAATAACAATTTAAATGTAAGGTGCATACTTTTAAGGGTTATATAAAAAGGCCCTCTATATATCATGCATTTAGTTGTAGAACTTTTATTGTTATTCTCATGGCTTTTCCTGTGCCTATAGGATTTGGATGTTGACTGATTAGTCAGAAGCAGGAAGCTAGTAAATTCAAAGCATAAACAGCTTAATCTCTTCTATAATTCCAATAGCTATAATCCGGATAGAGACTATACCCTCTGTAACTAAAAGAGATTGTGTAGCTGGGCATTGTGGCCCATGCCTGTAGTACCTGCTACTGGGGAGGCTGCGGTAGGAGGATTGCAAGTTTGAGGCCAGCCAAGGCAACTTAGTGTGAAATCTTGCCTCCAAAAACCTAACAGAAAGAGAGCTGAGATTAGTTCATTGGTTGACTCCCTAGATTCAATCCCTGGTAGTACACACACATAAAGACACAGAGAATGTATATACTTACCTCTATATGTCTAATACCTCATAATATATTTTTTGCACATGATAGATGTTCAGTTAATATTTTATTTACCACCAACATTAATCATCTGGTTTTAAAAATCTGGTTAAAAAATCATCTGATTGAAAAAAAAAAAAAGAATCATTTTTTGTGAAATCTCTGCCTCTTTGTATCTATGGGACCCTAGACAAGTTACCTAAACTGTCCAAGCCTCATTTCTAAATCTGGCAGCCCTCATCCATCAGTGTGATGACAGAATGAAATGATGTATGCAAAGCCTCAGGATACTGTTACAGAGCTCCAAACAGTCACCATTTTTATTGAATGGTTTGTACTAAGCACCACGCTAAGCATTTTTCAAGCACTCTTGAACCTTTGTGCAGCCTCATAAGTGGAGACTACACTGTCCTCCACTGTAGAGTCTCTGGTGAGTGAATGAAACTTGCTCAAGGTTAAGCTATGAAAACACCAGGAGCAAACTTTACCCGCAACAACAGAAAGACCAATTCACAGTCATGAAAATTCATTGCCTCACCTAACAGGAAACTCCATTTGTCTGCCCGCTTTGGGTGCAGTTTAATTCAGAGGATCACAGTGTCACCAAGCTGTGCTTTTTCTTTGTAGTCTTTCTCATCTCTGATCACTGTGCCCTGACACTGGTGAGGTGACTGTGGGCAGCTCCGTGTTTCATTCGTGTCCAGGTGGCAAGAATGATTGTCCTCACACCTGCTGCAGTGAAGCTTTCCACACTGTGGTGGGGGACAGGATTGACTTGGCCCTGTCAGTGTCCTGCCGTGGGGCTGAGGAGGGATACAGTCAACATCACCCATACAGTGGCTGCCACATGGTAGGATGGTGCAACCGCGGGGCCAGAATTAAGTGGCAAGGCCAGAATTAAAACCTGTAACGGTTACCCTCTTTCAGCAGGGAAAAATGAGAATTCCTTCAGAGTTTGACCTGAAATGATATTTGATCCCAGCAAAAATAATGTAGCATAAGTTTCACATTGGTGGTAGTATATTTGCTTAATATTAGTATATTTACCATACAAGGATTGTCTTGTTTTTGTTGTTTTAAACCTAAATTATATCCTCAAAACCAACCTATATGATTAAAAGACAAATAACATTATTTATTACGAGGAGAGAAAGCCAAAGCATGGAGGAATCAGATTATCCAAGTGTTAACTTAGTGTTAATGACAGAACTCAGGCTGGATCTGAAGGATTCTCTGCCTTGTAACCCATTGTTCTTTCTGCAGCACCACATTCTTTGGAGAAGCAGGTATTACCTTCATTTCTTATCTGGAGACCAGAGCTCACAGATGCTAAGCAGTGGGTGCCCAGCACTACTTGGCTGTTAGTGGGAGAACTGAGGTCCAGGTCCTTGTGCTCTCGCTCCAGTCTGTGCTTCTCATCCACTCACTGCTTCTTCACCGGGCAGATCGCGTGAAGGTAGTGAGATGGAAAGTGTGTTTCCCTGTGCCCCTCACGTACGAGCAGCAGGGCCATGCTTCTTTCCCCTTGTTTAAAAGCACTCATTTGAATACTCTGACAGGTAGTAAAAGAATACATTTTAAGCATATTTATACATGTGAAGGGTAAAATTAATCACCTCATAACATGTGCTTATTAGGGCCTAGGGAGTTCTTCAGTGTCTGGTGAGAAATGGAACCCATTCCCTTCTGGAAGAAACCTCAGCTTTCTACCTATCCTTCCTGGTCCTAACTCCTATCAGAGATGTTTTTTCCCTGGCTCCCTGTCTTCAAATCCCCAAGTACTCCTTTCCTGCTGCTTGTTCCCTGTGTGAGGAGCTATAGACCAGAGCTCTCTGACTTGAAAGGTTGGAATGTCTGGACTTAGGACCAAAGTCTGACAACCTTGGTTGTTTAGGAGCAGAGTCTGCTGAGCAGAGGGCAGATGTCACAAGTGGCTTCACTTCCAGCCCAGAATCTATCTGCAAAGACTGGTCAGGACCTCTGATCATTATGTGTACTCTGGTGTCACCAAAACTCCAGCTAAAAGAACAGAAATATGTGGTTTTTGCTAGAGTGGCCTAGTTATGTGAGAGAAAAATACAAATTTTTTGTAGGCTCTTGGAAATAATGAAGCATAGATGGCAAATTGATTACTCTTTTCAGAATATAAAATTATAACCTACATGTATTAATTTAGACCAACAGATCCAAAGTATCACCATATTTTTGTAGTTTAGAGATGATGGATGGTCTACTTAAAGACTCTGGGGTTCTATACTTAAGGATATATTTTCTAAATCTTGTTTTTGCACAGAAACAAAATTTTCCACATTAATTCCCCTATGATGTTATTGTAGCTAAGAGAGAATCAAGGGCAACATCACTGGTCTTATTTTTTTCTTTGGGAAAATGGGATAGTAACATTTCCCTTACCAAATTCCTAATATTGCAGGATTTAAATATAGTAACATGTATATGCTTTGTACAGCATCTAATGGGCTGTGCCTGTGCTGATTCTTACATGTTAGCATTTTTAGGAGAGGGCATTGTCAGAGGGCAGTCACTTACCTGATCTGTCACAACTCAGAACTGATGATGACCCACCCTTGTCTGGAGAATGCTCCTGATTCCCATCAATTGCAGCATTCTAATAAT